TATTCATCCGTAACGTACACAAGAACAGCCGTCAATACGTTTTCTCTTCAAAATCATATAAAAGCTGCTTTACTCCTGTGGTGAAGTCTGAAGCAACCTGATTTGTCGGCACCAAAGTTAATGTGGCATATGCAGCTAAGTTCTAACGGTTTTGCTTCTTTTCATAGTAAACAAATTCTCAAATCACCAACGGATGGCGCTTTAGTGCTCTAGTAGCAATTATTTAGCAACAACATTTGGTTAGCTCTAAAAGTTGCAAAAACATGCCCCAACAATGACTGCGTATCAACGTGACAATGGGCGATTGCTATGCGCTCAAAATGTATTTGGGTGTTAACCGGCGAGCTCGTCAAGTACTCTGATGCGCGTATTCATCCGTAACATGCAAAAGGATCATCGTCAACGAGTTTACTCTTCGAAGTCGTAAGAAGCCGTCGCTGTCCGACGACGACGACGTCGACGACGAGGAATAGGAATAGGAAGAGGAGGAATAGGAATAGGGAGGAGGAGGAATAGGAATAGGGAGGAGGAGGAATAGGAATAGGGAGGAGGAGGAATAGGAATAAGAGGAAGAAGAGGAGGAGGAGGAGGAGGAGGAGGAGGAGGAGGGGAGGAGGGGAGGAGGGCGCCGTTGGACGCGCGAAGGCCGCCGCCGGACAAAGGCGCCGCGCGGGCAGCGCAGGGAAGCGGAGCGGAGCGGAGGGGAAGTGGAGAGAAGCCTAGCGGGGCGGCCCACCATGGCCTTGAGCAACCTTTGCGAGCGGAGTGGCCGCATGCCCTGTCCTAACCAGCCCCGCCCCGCCCTCACCTGCCCAGCCCTGCCCCGCCCTCACCTGCCTCTGCGCTGCTCTAACCAGTTCTGCTCCCTTGCTTGGCTCCTGCCTTGTATGACCCGACCTGCTCTATTGCTCTCACCATTAATACCCTCTTGCTCTTGCAATTGCTCTGTTTTGCTCCATCCATCCTGTTGTTATCCCAATCCCTCTCCGTTCTCTTGTTTATGCCCTTAACCATTCTGTTCTCCGCCCGCTCCGCCTCTGCCCCGACCAGCTGTGTTGTCCTTTGCTCTGCTTCTGTTCTACCTGGTTCTACTCTCTAACCATTTGTGTACCCTGTTTTTAGTCTGATCTATCTGGATTTCTATCAGACCTATCTCGACATCTAACAGCTCTGTTCTCTGTCGTATCTTATCTCTCCTCCTACCCACTCGTTTTACTACATTCTGTTCCATCCCTGCTCCGACCTCTGTGTTGTCTGCTCTTCACTTCTGCTTCGATCGGCTTTGTTCCATTCCTTCCACCACCCGAAACCATCCTTTCTCTTCTGTGGTTTGCCCCACCTTTGCTCAGTATCTCGTGCGGCCTGTTCCGCTCCTCTTCCATTCCAATATTCTTGCTTTCTTTTTCTATGTTTGGCCCCCGTTTAAATCCCATGTACTTTATTGTTCTTTGCTATGCTTCAGCTGTGCTCAAGTTTTAAAATTTTTTATCGATTGTTTTTGTCTAATATCTGACATCCTCTAATTCTTTGCTTCGTTCTGCTCCATGCTACTGTTTTTCGATCTCCCTTTTTCTTACCCACTGTTTTACCTCTGCTCCAGCTAATTTTTTTGCTCTCTTCTGAGATGTTCATATGGCCTCTGAACTGCTTTCATCAAAATGATATTCCTTCATTCGTTCTAATGCATAATAACCTAGCGCAAAACTGCAAAACAAACAGGAATGCCCGGACAAGATTGTCATCTTCAAAATCATATTCTGGTTATAATCTAATTTTACACTTCTTTTCCTGCATCAAATTACTTTGAAAGTTTCCGGTTATATCTTCAATGTCTTCCCAGGGTGTACGTTTGCACAATTTACGAATATCAAGTTCATAATTCTCGCCCCAAAAGCGGATTGTCCTTCTCGAGGCAGAATTATGTCTTTCTTAAAATAAAGGACCAAATAAAGGACCAAATAAAGGACCAAGTTCTCTCTGGATTGCTGCAGGGTGTTTCCGTTTCTTACGCGTGCACGTGAATGTGGATGCGGGTATAGAAGTGTGTAATATTGAGGGAAAGTGTCTGCGAGTAAACGCAGCAAGAGCTCTTACGAAGTTGTTAGACAAAGGATGCGAGATAGGCCTACACGAGCGAACTACGTCATGAAGGGTCTACGTGTCAGAATGTGCGTCGTGTAGAAGAGAATGCATGAATGCTATAGAATAATGATATAGTAAAGAATTTGCAGATACAAAGGTATAATTGTAATGCACCAGTGAAGACAAATATGTTAACATAAAATACGACGCAATTCCATTCAGGAGCAAAACTGAAAATGAATTCATAACTCAAGAAAGTCTGTTTTATCAACATTCGAGTAAGTGAGTGGGAAATTCTTCGAGTATAAAAATCCGATAATACTCTACTTCAAACCGTGAATAAAATTATACATTATAATTTTAAAAATAATAACCTGTTCCCAAAGAAATGAAAACCGCATCTGTGTTTAGAAACTGATGTTTTAAGTTCATCTTAAATTGAGTTACGTTTTGCACTTCATGGTCAGGGTGACAACAGTCTCTCACTCATTCCGCTGGACTAGTAATGACTCTTTGAAGGTCATGAGTCAGCATTTGCTTACCAACACTGCGCGAGAACAGATATTTGTCTCAATGTGATTTACTACCGCAATAAAGCCTGCTAGAAATTGTATTAAATCTTTAAAGTAATAAAAATATCAAATTTTATATAATGATCTAATCTCCTACAAATTAGTTCCACAATATAATGTTCTAACCTCCTACAAATTAGAAACGACTTTAATCTTACCAATAAATATTATAATTTTAATTTTGCATGTAAAGGTAAAACTTTTTTTGTGAGACTTTATAACAATCTATTACTCACACAAATTGTAATAAAGAAGAAAGTGATAAACAGAATTTAACGAACTAGAAGGTCACTATAAGCGCAAAAACATGAAATGTAAATGATTAACGTGACACGTAAGACAATGAAAACTTAACAGTTTCTTTCATAATACTTCCAATATTCGACACCCTATCGAGCATTCACTTTATGTAACCTCAAACTCGACCACACCCAGCCCTGGCCAAGAACAACGACATTGAACTCTCATACGAAGGCGGAGGAACCTTGGCAGTACTCGTTCAATTTATCAATCCGGTTTGGCTCAACGGGACAGCCAGACATCCAGATATCACTTGCAGACGCGAAATACCCTTTGTTTCCCAACTTGTCATAGAAAAGAACAGAAGTTCTAATAATTATCTCATTCTCTGATAAAATTATCAAAGCAATCACACAAACTGCAATAAAAATTATGGGAAGATTCCATTTTGTTTTTTATGTCGATTACTGAGTTTAATAGAATCATAGCAATTTGCAGACATTTCACATATTTTTCACTCGTGGAATAATAATAATAATAATAATAATAATAATAATAATAACACATTTTAGATCGAAAAATGTAATAGAAGTTTTTTCAGAATTATTAATTCCCATGACATAAAATATAATAACATTAAAGAATGCGTGATAAAATGTTTTTAAATTTGTTCTAATCATACATCATCAGACATTGAAGAAATAAAAAAAATGTTATTTTTATTTCCGCTATTGAAATAATTCAATAGCTACAAATTTTAACCAACTACAGTTTAACCCGACCATTACATCCGGGCTATCGACCGCACGTATTATTAAATTTTGACATTATAAGCATACAAAATCTTTGCATTTTCTGGAGGTCTGAATTCTGAACCAGCAAACAACAGTCCTACTTGGAGATATCAACGCACGGTTAGAAAACTATCCTAATATAGTGGTTACTTTATTATGAACTTTTCAAAAACGAAAAATCTCTTATATTTCCTTTTCACTTTGCATTGCCGCTACTGAGCGTTGCTATCTACTGGTCGTGGTTAAATGTAAATCACAGCCGTCGGCAAATGAAGAGAACAAGTAATTCAGGGCGGGGCACGCAATAAAATGTGATATCAGTGACCGTCAAAAATACCAAACCCCCATGAATGATTATTTCTGACCAGATGATTTCTGCCAAAAGCAGAGCACTTCGTGCATTCTGTCAGTAGAAGCTGTGTAAATGGAGGACAGAGTCAGCCTAGGAAAACATCATACATATAGTAAATTATCACCAATATTACACAATTGTCGAAAAGGATTATATTTATTTTTTACTGATACGTTATAGCTTGTTTTTGTCTTCAATACGAGATCAATACTGCATTCTTAGATGGGAAGAATTGTGGTTACGAGGGAAATGTGAAAACCGTTGAATATACCTAGCATTTCCATAACAGTTGAATGCTATTTGTTCTGTTATAGGAATGCTAGGTTCTCTTAGGGAATTATGGGAGCGAAATATGAAAGGAAATTATGGGAGGGAAATCTGATAAGACAAACCGAATCTAGTAAACATCTACCGAGCTTGTAAATAAGTAAGTCTTAATAAAAAATTTTGTTAAAAAATGAAATTTCGTATGCACCGCAAGGGTTAACTGGCCTTGAAGCAACGCACATTTTGTCCTCAGAGATCATTAGACCCCTTATAACGCCCTTGATTAATAAATAACACTTTTTTTTCAATTTTAACTACAGCTGATCGAACGATGATGTCCTCAGGGCTATAGAATATAGTGGTGGCTGAATGGGAATATAGCAATGGCTATAATTACATTGCTACCACATAGATCGGTTACAGAGTTGGATAAAATAAATAAAAATTAAAAAAAAACAAAATGATATATACATAAACCAGGTACATGAAACAGAAGGACCATAAATAATGTACAATATTATAATATATTCATGGTTCTTCGTTTTCCCTGTACAACAAGTAAGCATATCATTCGTTTTCTTGTTTGTTATTATGCATGTCCAAACCACCGAAGCTGATGGTATTTCGAATACTAAAAATGCTAGCAAAGACATCATTCGCTACAAACCGCCTTCCGGCGTAGGCAACACTCACCGTGGTCAGGCGGGCCATGTTGCTGCGCGGGGAGCGGGGCGGTGGCTGCTGCGAGGCGTCGTGCGGTCAGCGGGCGGGGCGTCGGAGGGGACTGCTCCGCGCGCCGCCGCGCGCCAGCTCCTTCTTCGCCCCGCCCCCCTCTCCACGCCGCCACCGCCGCCCCCCGCGCTGGACTCGCTGCCAGACGCCGCTTCCACCTTCTGAGCGGCCGCGCCTTCGCCGCTCCAACCACATCGCAGCCGCCGCACACACGCCACCTTCGCCGCAGGAATGGTTAATGGGTGGCGGCGATCTCATTAAACCGCTAGTTTGCTAACGCTTCGGGACTTTATTGTTCCCTCCGCTGGCCTATGGAACACGTAATTACATTGCTACTACCTAGGTCAGTTACAGAGTGGGTAGAATGTATAAAAACCAAACAAAACACATGATATACTGAGTTATTGTACATGGAAAAGAAGTTATTGTACATAATATATTATAATACAATGTACCCTATTATTTATCGTGTTTCTTTTTTATATACTCAGTATATCGTCTGAAGGAAACTTCTACCTGCCGGTTTTTCTGATCGCTAGTTTTTCGCGGTTCTCCAATCAACACCAGGCGAATTCCGAAGCAATACCCTAACAACTGGGCCACGGACCACACGCGACAGCTTCTTCCTCGTCCTCGTACTATTCTCGTTCCTTAATTACACTCACTAACGCTTACATGCACTACACTATCACATTTGTCGGGAGACCCGGTCGGTATCTTGGAGCTTATCCCGGCTGGGGCGGTGCCAAGCTGGTGGGGGACACGTGCTTGAGGGAAACCGGCCAGCCAACGGTAGGTCGGCGCCGGATCTCGCCTCTAGGGGAAGGCAGGCTCACCGCCATATCCACATACACTATACTTACGAGACCAATGACCTTAGCATTAGACGCGCCCGGAATCACTAATCAATCAACCCAGTACATAATTTTGTTTCTTGTTTGTTTTTTAGCATTCTATTCAACTTTGGAACTGACCCCTGTAGTATCAGTGTAATTATGTGTTCCGTAGATCTGAGGAGGGAACAGTTAAGTTCAGAAACTTTGGCAAACAAGGAGTTTAGTTAAGTGATTAACACTAATTAACTTTTCCTAGAATGAAGAGTGTGACCGTGAATTCAGTTATTTCTTTTTTCCGTTTCAGTCGAAGCGGGGCCCCTGGCGAAATAATTAAAATACGTCTTCCTCCGCTAGGACTTTGGTGCGTTATTCGACCAATCCAAGTAGAAAATAGAACAAAGCGAGCTCTCAGCAGGTTTCCTCAAGGTTGTTCCGCTTCCACAACCACTCGTTCTCCCATTGCTCCATCGTTATTCACCTCGTCATCATTATCGTCATCTTTTACTAATGGTTTCATAACGTGTGGGGCAAAACGGCCCACAGTTGAACACCGTAATTGCTACCTAACGGTTGCCTTACGGTCCATTGGTCATGCCTACCTAACGGTTTGCTCGATCCTTTACCCGGTCGTTATCTAGCCTTGCGAACAATCCTGTAGTGCCACTCTTTGAGTTCGTTCGGCTGCCCAGGAAGCGTTGTCTCTTACGTCTGAGGGAGACTTAAGGTCCATCTCGCCTCGATCATTCCAATATGCCCAAGATATTCTACCTCAATGCTTGCACTCTTGTTTGTGATTAGGGGACTAGATCCAAAAAGCGCCCTTGCCTTTTCAGCAGAGCCCACAATCACCATCTGTAGGGAATAAGCTCAAGAGGTAAGGACACGATGTGGGTTAAAGAGTAATTGGATGATGGACTATCTAACAATTACAACTGAAATCATCGATGCCGTCCATGGAATTTGAGCAGCCTTCCTGTAATACATACGAAGCTGTAGCCTTCCCCCACTAGGTTAGTTTACTAAAATATACACAGCAGGTTTTAGACTTAAGACCTGGGCACTGTTACTTTCGTACAACACTTTACTGCTTATAATTTATATAAATGAACATAATTTTAAATTATGAAACATAATTTACGATGTTATGCATTTATTGATGGTTTAAAATGTTATAAATATATTTTACATAATCAATATTTTTACTTACAATACATATTTTAATTATTTCAACATATTTTTCTCTTTGGTTGCACAAACGTGTTATTAAAATTCGTTGGTACTTTCGAGTTGTGTTTACTACGGTTTGGATAATTCTATTCTAACATGGAAATCTGGAGTTCACACAGCCTGGGAAACCATAGACAGCTCTCAAAGGGCCCGAGACTGCATTTATTTGCAATTTCTGCACTCAATGGAAATTAGCCTTGCAGATAGTAAGTGAGTAAGGCAGGAGGACAGAGGCGGCGGTGGCTTTGATGGAATGCTGGTGTGCTGGCACCGGCTTCGTGGAGGTGTGGTTGCGGTGGTGGGGGTGTGGCCGGGAGGTGTGGTAGGGGTGTAGCAGGTGTTGGTTCGAGATGGAGGTGTGTCGTGGCGGCGGCGCTGTTACGACAATTTGCCGGAGTCGTGGCCATCAAGTGGCAGTGGATAGACATCATGGAGTTGGTGGAAGTCTTAAACGCACTTGCAGGTGTGAAGCACAGTCGATAAACCATCTATTGGAATGTAAACTTTATGAATTTGATAGTAGCATAATGCCTTTGTATATATTTAATATATATTTACTTATCGCAACGCATATATTTCGGTGTAACGGCACAATAGCCAAATTTCCTGAGCCACAAATCTCATCATGGCATCATCAGAACCCATCATTAGATCGTTTGTGATGAAATGTAAGTGATGTAATTACTTAGTGCCGTTGTATCTGTGATGTAATGAATAGAACAATGAATGAAAATTGCAATATCAAAACATAACTAATGATTATGCGTTTTTGAGACATTTTTTGAGTTTATTTTAGTCAAATGTCTTCGAATTAGACTATAGATCATTTTAGTGTATGTATACATTGCATTTACTGTCCTTCCCCAACTCAATTACGTGACAAAATGACCCTTCCCGTCAAACAGTGCTTCCCCGTGAGCCGACGTGTAAGTAGGCGCCGGATGTGGCCATTTAGCGTAGGACGATCTTTGACAAGTGACCACTACCGAAGTTGACAGGTTCAAACCCGATCAAAGCTGTAGATTTTTAAGGGCGAAAAAATCCTTAGTACGCCTTCCTTTCGACGGGAAGTAAAACCGGCTGTACCATGTTGTAGATTTACAACACGTAAAATGATCCTCAAACCTAAAATAAGCCTGTGAGCAAAATTAAAATCGTCGATTTCTTTCCTATACTTCCTTTCACTGCTAGATGGTGAAAGGAGCGTTGCGGAATTTGAGTGGTCAGGTGGAAGAGCAGGCTCGATGTCCTGATTCTCGCCACGGGAAATAATGCATGAATTGAATTGAAATCAATCAAACGCTCCACAGTGTAACAACTAGGCAAAGTGAATCACTGGGCGGCGAGGCCGGTACCCGCACCGCGGAGGGGAGACTTCCGCGTGCCGCCGGGAAGTCCTCGGCGCCTCTCCCCCCCCCCGCCCCCTAGCCGCGCCCATCGGCGGAGACGCCCTAGGGCGCCCCCTCCGCCTTGCTTCCGGGATTCAGCCCCGCTCGCGTGGCGTGGCGTGGCGTCGCGGCCTCGCTTTTTGCCGCTGGGAAGCGACCTGCAGCGACGCTCGCGTCGGCGCTCGTAGAAGGCTGCTCTGGAGACGACGCAACTCCGCTTCTCTTGCCTCCGGAGGCTACAGCAAATCGCGTCATGCACTTTATCTCAGACGTCGCCCGAATTTACGTTTCGTCTCGTATAATTCACTAAAAACCCAAACCACCCCGCGAAAAAATACAGATATAGCAGATATTTTTCAAAATATATTTATAAATTATATTTACAAAATAATATAGATATTTTTCAGCTGCTTTTTCCAGCTTCAGGGAATACTTAAAGGTAAGTATAATCAACAAATGTATAAGAACACTTTTCAGGAGAGTGATGAGGAGGGGCGTCCTTACTTTTTTGGTTGGCACTTGTGGCATCAGATGTGGTTAAATCTTTAGTCATGACCACTGCAAAATGCTTGGTATGTTGTCTTAAGGAATAGACATTTTGATCTGTTGGCCTACGCATGTCGTATTACATACGATCACTTCTTACGCACTTGATTCTTAATTTCTTATATTCCCGCAATTGTATCGTAAAAATTAAGCACCAGAAGCATGATAGAAAATGGTTTGTTTCTTATGATTACTTACTGTTTAAGGATATGCTATCAGAAAGATTTTTCGGATTGAACGTCTCCTTAAAAAATAAAATAATTAAAAACCGACCAGGTCTCTATAAAATAGTTTGGTGCTATTAGAAATGTATCTGGCAGTACAAATTCGTACAATTTCGTACAGCGTACAATTTCGTTTCGCACTTTCAGTTAATGGGGCTAGGATGAGCTACAATCGCTCTTTCACGTTTATGAAGGAAGTGAACGCTGCGCGTACAACCGAGCAATCGCACGCTTTGGAACTCGAGATCCACGGATTTATAAGGATTAAATGGGGAGCAACTAATCAAAAACACATATTGTCCACTGGTGGGGAAAATTGAGTTGTATATGAAAACGTGTAATTTTTAATACGTTCTACCCTTTCCTGCTTTCAGATTTCTCAAAACGCATTTTAACACATTAAATTAAATGCATTTTGAAGAAATCTGAAAGGAGGAACGTGTAGGACGTATTAAAACGTTTTGAACCGATGCTCTTCTATGTCCCTGGCCGCGACGTACGCTAAAGATATACAACGTTAGTGATTAGGGAAAAAAGCTTCAAGAGCTGAGCATGTGCAACTAAATCCATTATCAATTAAATAAACTAATAATACAAATTTATAACGAAGAACATATGTCTTAATAGAATAGTAAATTTTAAAATGAATAAATGGAAATAAGAATTGTTTTTCCTAGTCGGTCGTATTTTTTATAATATTTCCTTGTTTATTTGTTTAAAAAATTAACGATCTACATTGGAACCATTTTATCATTATTTTTCTTCGTTTTAATATATTTCATTACTTTTTGAATTCTGCCATTAAC